TCTCTCTCTCTCTCTCTCTCTCTCAATTTAACAATGCACAGAGGTATTTCGGTGAACTTGGTGTAATGAACAATGTTTCAAGTCACGTATTATAGATGGAAACTGCTCACGCACGTACACACGTGCACGCAAACACGTGTACACACACACACGTGTACATACACAGGTGCACGCAAACACTTGTACACACATATGTGTACACAAACACGTATACACGTGCACGCCAACACGTCTGCACAAACAAGTGCATACATGCACATAAACACGTGCACACATGCAGCACCGTGCAGCACCTGTCTGGAACCCGCACTTGATCAAGCACGTCAAGAAATTAAAGAAAGTGCAAAGGTTTGCGACAAGGTTAGTTCCAGAGCTAAGGGGAATGTCCTATGAAGAAAGGTTGAGGGAAATCAGCCTGACGACACTGGAGGACAGGAGGGTCAGGGGAGACATGATAACGGCATATAAAATACTGCGCGGAATAGACAAGGTGGATAAAGACAGGATGTTCCAAGGAGGGGACACAGAAATAAGAGGTCACAATTGGAAGTTGAAGACTCAGATGAATCAAAGGGATGTTAGGAAGTATTTCTTCAGTCATAGAGTTGTCAGGCAGTGGAACAGCCTAGAAAGTGACGTAGTGGAGGCGGGAACCATACATAGCTTTAAGACGAGGTATGATAAAGCTCATGGAGCAGGGAGAGAGAGGACTCAGTAGCAACTGGTGAAGAGGCGGGGCCAGGAGCGAAGATTCGACCCCTGCAACCACAAATAGGTGAGTACAAATAGGTGAGTACATACACATGTACACGAGACACACACCTGAGAGCAGAACCATACACTGAGTGGAATGACTTAAATAACACTGGGAGCAGAACCGTACACTGAGTGGAATGACTTAAATAACACTGGGAGCAGAACCGTACACTGAGTTGAATGACTTCAATAATACTGGGAGCAGAACCATACACCGAGAGGAATGACTTCAATAACAATGGGAGCAGAACCATACACTGAGTGGAATGACTTCAATAATACTGGGAGCAGAACCATACACCGAGAGGAATGACTTCAATAACAATGGGAGCAGAACTATACACTGAGAGGAATGACTTCAATAACAATGGGAGCAGAACTATACACTGAGAGGAATGACTTCAATAACACTGGGAGCAGAACTATACACTGAGAGGACTGACTTAATGACACTGGGAGCAGAACCATACACTGACCGGGCCGCGGGGGCGTTGACCCCCGAAACTCTCTCCAGGTAATCTCCAGGTAAACACTGGGAGCAGAACCATACACTGAGAGGACTGACTTATAACACTGGGAGCAGAACCATACACTGAGTGGAATGACTTAAGTAACACTGGGAGAATAACCATACACTGAGTGGAATGACTTCAGTAACACTGGGAGCAGAACCATACACTGAGTGGAATGACTTAACACTGGGAGCAGAACCATACACTGAGTGGAATTACTTCAGTAACACTGGGAGCAGAACCATACACTGAGAGGAATGGACTTCTAAGTAAACACTGGAGCAGAACATACACTGAGTGGAATGCTTCAATACACTGAGGAGCAGAACCATACACTGAGTTGAATGACTTCAATAATACTGGGAGCATAACCATACACTGAGAGGAATGACTTTAATAACAATGGGAGCAGATCTATACACTGAGAGGAATGACTTCAATAACACTGGGAGCAGAAACTATACACTGAGAGGACTGACTTAATAACACTGGGAGAAGAACCATACACTGAGTGGAATGACTTCAGTAACACTGGGAGCAGAACCATACACTGAGTGGAATGACTTCAGTAACACTGGGAGCAGAACCATACACTGAGTGGAATGACTTCAGTAACACTGGGACCAGAACCATACACTGAGAGGACTACCTTAATAACACTGCGAGCAGAACCATACACTGAGAGGACTGACTTAATAACACTGGGAACAGAACCATACACTGAGTGGAATGACTTTAGTAACACTGGGAGCAGAACCATACACTGAGAGGAATGACTTCAGTAACACTGGGAACAGAACCATACAGTGAGAGGAATGACTTCAGTAACACTGGGAGCAGAACTATACACTGAGAGGAATGACTTCAATAACACTGGGAGCAGACACCATATACTGAGTGGAATGACTTGAATAACACTGGGAGCAGAACCATACACTGAGTGGAATGACTTCAATAACACTGGGAGCAGAACCATACACTGAGAGGAATGACTTCAGTAACACTGGGAACAGAACCATACACTGAGAGGAATGACTTCAGTAACACTGGGAGCAGAACTATACACTGAGTGGAATGACTTCAATAACACTGGGAGCAGACACCATATACTGAGTGGAATGACTTGAATAACACTGGGAGCAGAACAAACTGAGTGAAAGACTTAATAAACTGGGAGCAGAACCATACACTGAGTGGAATGACTTCAATAACACTGGGAGCAGAACCATACACTGAGTGGAATGACTTCAATAAGACTGGGAGCAGAACCATACACTGAGTGGAATGACTTCAGTAACACTGGGAGCAGACACCTTACATTGAGTGGAATGACTTCAATAATACTGGGAGCAGACACCATATACTGAGTGGAATGACTTGAATAACACTGGGAGCAGAACCATGCACTGAGTTGAATGGCTTCAATAATACTGGGAGCAGAACCATACACTGAGAGGAATGACTTCATTAACAATGGGAGCAGAACTATTCACTGAGAGGAATGACTTCAATAACAATGGGAGCAGAACTATACACTGAGAGGAATGACTTCAATAACAATGGGAGCAGAACTATACACTGAGAGGAATGACTTCATTAACAATGGGAGGAGAACTATTCACTGAGAGGAATAACTTCAATAACAATGGGAGCAGAACTATACACTGAGAGGAATGACTTCAATACCACTGCAAACAGAACCATACACTGAGAGGACTGACTTAATAACACTGGGAACAGAACCATACACTGAGTGGAATGACTTTAGTAACACTGAGAACAGAACCGTACACTGAGTGGAATGACTTCAGTAACACTGGGAGCAGAACCATACACTGAGAGGAATGACTTCAGTAACACTGGGAGCAGACACCATATACTGAGTGGAATGACTTGAATAACACTGGGAGGAGAACCGTACACTGAGTAGAATGACTTGAATAACACTGGGAGCAGACACCTTACACTGAGTGGAATGACTTCAATAATACTGGGAGCGGACACCATATCCTCAGTGGAATGACTTGAATAACACTGGGAGCAGAACCATACACTGAGAGGACTGACTTAATAACACTGGGAACAGAACCATGCACTGAGTGGAATGACTTCAGTAACACTGGGAGCAGAACCATACACTGAGTGGAATGACTTCAGTAACACTGGGAGCAGAACCATACACTGAGTGGAATGACTTCAGTAACACTGGGAGCAGAACCATACACTGAGTGGAATGACTTCAATAACACTGGGAGCAGAACCATACACTGAGTGGAATGACTTCAATAACACTGGGAGCAGAACCATACACTGAGTGGAATGACTTCAGTAACACTGGGAGCAGAACCATACACTGAGTGGAATGACTTCAATAACACTGGGAGCAGAACCATACAGTGAGAGGAATGACTTCAATAACACTGGGAGCAGAACCATACAGTGAGAGGAATGACTTCAATAACACTGGGAGCAGAACCATACACTGAGTGGAATGACTTCAATAACACTGGGAGCAGAACCATACACTGAGTGGAATGACTTCAATAACACTGGGAGCAGACATAGCGAAACAGTGTTGCCAACACCGCTGACAACAACATTAAGACTTCACGTAACACACAACAGTGTTGCCAACACCGCTGACAACAACATTAAGACTTCACGTAACACACAACAGTGTTGCCAACATCGCTGACAACAACATTAAGACTTTACGTAACACACAACAGTGTTGCCAACACCGCTGACAACAACGTTAAGACTTCACACAACAGTATTACCAACACAGCTGCTCAGTGTTACAAGTACTTCCCTGGCTTTTTAATCCAATCAACTGTGGATTTATAACCAGGCTTATTGAGGAGTTTATTCCAGACCCTCCTGAGCCCTGCCCCTCCCCGGCCTCTCCCCACCCAGCCCTGCCCCTCCCCGGCCTCTCCCCACCCAGCCCTGCCCCTCCCCGGCCTCCCCCCACCCCCCTCACCGCTCTCCCACCCAGCCTCCCCTCCCGGCCTCTCCCCACCCAGCCCTGCCCCTCCCGGCCTCTTCCCACCCACCCCTGCTCCCTCTCCAGCCCTGTCCCCTCTTCAGCCCATTCACTGCACATCCCCAGCCCCTTCCCATCACACCTACGTATCTCTTCCCCAGGCCCTCCCCAACCCATGTGTCATGTGTCATGACACAGTTGAGCCATGTGACTGTGTCATGACACAGGTGAGCAAGGTAACTGTTTCATGACACAGGTGAACCAGGTGACTGTTTCATGACACAGGTGAGCCACAGTGAACACGTAGGAAATCTTGGCACTGTGAGGACAGGTGCCTGAACTCTGGAGAATCACCTAGAGGCGCTGTCTCACCTACTTCCCACCTGCCCCTACACGGGTGTGCCTCTCTACTCCTGTTTAACACATGTTCCCACATATCCTCCCCACACCTGTTTAACACGTGTTCCCACGTAGATTATCCTCCCCACACCTGCGTTTAACACTTGTTCCTACGCTTGTGCACCTCTCCACACGTGTTTAACAAATGTTTGTATTCTGGCGCACCTCTACACACGTGTTTATCACGTGTTCCTACGCTGATGCCCTTCTACACACGTGTTTACCACATGTTCGTAGACAGTTACACCTTTATACACCTGTTTTCTCACCATGAAACGCAGCCCATACGAGCTTAGAGGTTATAGTAATAGTAAGTAGAGGCAGGAAAACGCCAGTAGTGTACTTACCAGTCATTAGTTTGGCGTCCTTAGAGTAGGCACCCGCGCTGGAGAGCAGCGGCGAGGTGATTGGTCCGATGGGTGATGACGTCAGGGCCTGGGGGGCGTGGCTCAGGTACTGGGAGGCTACGGTTTTTGCTGGAGGGGCATGGACGGGAGGAGCGAGAAGGGGGAATTCTTTAGCAGATTGGTGGAGTAGCCGAGACGGGTGGGCCACTGGCGGGGTCGGTGGGAAGTGGATTGAGCCCCAGGGAGCCAGTGAAGGGCTCCGCCCTACGACAGTGAGTGCTTGGCCAGCACACATGGAGTCTGGGAGACAGGGGCGTGGCGGAACTGCAGGTGTGAGCCAGCGTGGAGCATGACACACCTGTGCGAGGAATGATTTAACCTGAGTGTGGCATGATACATCAGTACAGGTGTTGAGTGGGTCATGATACATCAGTACAGGTGTTGAGTGTGTCATGATACATCAGTACAGGTGTTGAGTGTGTCATGATACACCAGTACAGGTGCTGAGTGTCATGATACATCAGTACAGGTGTTGTGTCATGATACATCAGTACAAGTATTGTCATGATACATTAGTAAAGGTATTGTGTCTTGATACATCAGTACAGGTGTTGTGCCATGATATATCAGTACAGGTGTTGTTATGATACATCAGTACAGGTGATGAGTGTGTCATTATATGTCAGTACAGGTGTTGAGTGTGTCATGATGCATCAGTACAGGTGTTGATTGTGTCATGATACATCAGTACAGGTGTTGAGTGTGTCATGATACGTCAGTACAGGTGTTGAGTGTGTCATGATACATCAGTACAGGTGTTGTGCCATGATACATCAGTACAGGTGTTGTGTCATGATACATCAGCACAGGTGTTTTGTCATGATACATCAGTACGGTGTTGTGCCATGATACATCAGTACAGGTATTGTCATGATACATCAGTACAGGTGTTGAGTGTCATGATACATCAGTACAGGTGTTGTGCCATGATACATCAGTACAGGTGTTTTGTCATGATACATCAGTACAGGTGTTGTGCCATGATACATCAGTACAGGTGTTGTGTCATGATACATCAGTAGAGGTGTTGTGCCATGATACATCAGTACAGGTATTTTGTCATGATACATCAATACGGTGTTGTGCCATGATACATCAGTACAGGTATTGTCATGATACATCAGTACAGGTGTTGAGTGTCATGATACATCAGTACAGGTGTTGTGTCATGATACATCAGTACAGGTGTTTTGTCATGATACATCAGTACGGTGTTGTGCCATGATACATCAGTACAGGTATTGTCATGATACATCAGTACAGGTGTTGAGTGTCATGATACATCAGTACAGGTGTTGTGCCATGATACATCAGTACAGGTGTTGTGTCATGATACATCAGTACAGGTGTTGTGCCATGATACATCAGTACAGGTGTTGTGCCATGATACATCAGTACAGGTGTTGTGTCATGATGCATCAGTACAGGTGTTGTGCCATGATACATCAGTACAGGTGTTTTGTCATGATACATCAGTACAGGTGTTGTGTCATGATACATTAGTGCAGGTGTTGTGCCATGATACATCAGTACAGGTATTGTGTCATGATACATCAGTACAGGTGTTGAGTGTGTCATGATACATCAGTACAGGTGTTGTGCCATGAAACATCAGTACAGGTGTTATGTCATGATACATCAGTACAGGTGTTGTGCCGTGATACATCAGTACAGATGTTGTGTCATGATTCATCAGTACAGGTGTTGTACCATGATATATCAGTACAGGTGTTGTGCCATGATACATCAGTACAGGTGTTGTGTCATGATACATCAGTACAGGTATTGTGCCATGATACATCAGTACAGGTGTTGTGTCATGATACATCAGTACAGGGGTTGTGCCATGATACATCAGTACAGGTGTTGTGTCTTGATACATCATTACAGGTGTTGTGAGATGATACATCAGTATAGGTGTTGTGTCATGATACATCAGTACAGGTGTTGTGCCATGATGCATCAGTACAGGTGTTGTGTCTAGATATATCAGTACAGGTGTTGTGTCATAATACATCAGTACAGGTGTTGTGTTATGATACATCAGTACAGATGTTGTGCCATGATACATCAGTACAGGTGTTGTGTTATGATACATCAGTACAGGTTTTGTGCCATGATACGTCAGTACAGGTGTTGTGCCATGATACATCAGTACAGGTGTTGTGTTATGATACATCAGTACAGATGTTGTGCCATGATACATCAGTACAGGTGTTGTGTCTAGATACATCAGTACAGGTGTTGTGTCATAATACATCAGTACAGGTGTTGTGTCATGATACATCAGTACAGGTTTTGTGCCATGATACGTCAGTACAGGTGTTGTGCCATGATACATCAGTACAGGTATTGTCATGATACATCAGTACAGGTGTTGAGTGTCATGATACATCAGTACAGGTGTTGAGTGTCATGATACATCAGTACAGGTGTTGTGTCATGATACATCAGTACAGGTGTTGTACCATGATACATCAGTACAGATGTTGTGCCATGATACATTAGTACAGGTGTTGTGTCATGATACATCAGTACAGGTGTTGTGCTATGATACATCAGTACAGGTGTTGTCGGGATACATCAGTACAGGTGTTGTGCCATGATACATCAGTACAGGTGTTTTGTCATGATACATCAGTACAGGTGTTTTGTCATGATACATCAGTACAGGTGTTGTGTCATGATACATCAGTACAGGTGTTGTGTCATGATACATCAGTACAGGTGTTGTGCTATGATACATCAGTACAGGTGTTGTGCTATGATATATCAGTACAGGTGTTGTGCCATGATACATCAGTACAGGTGTTGTGTCATGATATATCAGTACAGGTGTTGTGCTATGATACATCAGTACAGGTGTTGTGCTATAATACATCAGTACAGGTGTTGTGCCATGATACAGCAGTACAGGTGTTGTGCCATGATACATCAGTACAGGTGCTGTGCCATTATACATCATTACAGGTGTTGTGTCATGGTACATCATTACAGGTGTTGTGCCATGATTCATCAGTACAGGTGTTGTGCCATGATACAGCAGTACAGGTGTTGTGCCATGATACATCAGTACATGTGCTGTGCCATTATACATCATTACAGGTGTTGTGTCATGGTACATGATTACAGGTGTTGTGCCATGATTCATCAGTACAGGTGTTGTGCCATGATTCATCAGTACAGGTGTTGTGCCATGATACGATCAGTAATGGTACTTTGCATTGTATACCATGTACAAACAGTTACTTGATGGTACATCATTAAGCTGCTGTACCATACTTAATCAGTTACAGGTTTGTTACCTATAATCTATCACTTACAGTGCTTGTCCATTGATACTATCAGTACACTGCTGTCCTATTGATACATCATCTTACAACTTGTTCACTACTGTACTAACTATTATCAGGTTTACTGCCTTACATGATCTATCAGTACAGCTGTTGTGCCTACTTGATCATCATTACCAGTGTTGTGCCATGATACTCAACTTGCATGTCATATCACTTACGTGTTAGTACTCACTTGACTAATCACTAATGATTACCAACTTTGATCTATCACTTACACCTGAACTTACCTAACTTATCTATCACTTACCCTGCTTACTAACTTATCTATCACTTACCTGCCTTACCTAACTTATCTATCACTTACCCTGCCTTACCTAACTTAATCTATCACTTACCCTGCCTTACCTAACTTGATCTATCACTTACCCTTCCTTACCTAACTTGATCTATCACTTACCCTGCCTTACCTAACTTGATCTATCACTTACCCTGCCTTACCTAACTTGATCTATCACTTACCCTGCCTTACCTAACTTGATCTATCACTTACCCTGCCTTACCTAACTTGATCTTCACTTACCCTGCCTTACCTAACTTGATCTATCACTTACCCTGCCTTACCTAACTTGATCTATCACTTAACCTTCCTTACCTAACTTGATCTGTCACTTACCCTTCCTTACCTAACTTGATCTATCACTTACCCTGCCTTACCTAACTTGAGCTATCACTTACCCTGCCTTACCTAACTTGATCTATCACTTACCCTGCCTTACCTAACTTGATCTATCACTTACCTTCCTTACCTACTTGTCTGTCATTACCTCCTATAACTTGATCTATCACTTACCCTGCCTTACCTAACTTGATCTATCACTTACCCTGCCTTACCTAACTTGATCTATCACTTACCCTGCCTTACCTAACTTGATCTGTCACTTACCCTCCTTACCTAACTTGATCTGTCACTTACCCTTCCTTACCTAACTTGACTATCACTTACCCTGCCTTACCTAACTTGATCTTCCTTACCCTTCCTTACCTAACTTGATCTTCACTTACCCTGCCTTACCTAACTTGATCTATCACTTACCCTGCCTTACCTAACTTGATCTATCACTTACCCTGCCTTACCTAACTTGATCTATCACTTACCCTGCCTTACCTAACTTGATCTATCACTTACCCTGCCTTACCTAACTTGATCTATCACTTACCCTGCCTTACCTAACTTGATCTGTCACTTACCCTTCCTTACCTAACTTGATCTATCACTTACCCTGCCTTACCTAACTTGATCTATCACTTACCCTGCCTTACCTAACTTGATCTATCACTTACCTCTCCTTACCTAACTTGATCTGTCACTTACCCTTCCTTACCTAACTTGATCTATCACTTACCCTGCCTTACCTAACTTGATCTATCACTTACCCTGCCTTACCTAACTTGATCTATCACTTACCCTGCCTTACCTAACTTGATCTATCACTTACCCTGCCTTACCTAACTTGATCTATCACTTACCCTGCCTTACCTAACTTGATCTATCACTTACCCTGCCTTACCTAACTTGATCTATCACTTACCCTGCCTTACCTAACTTGATCTATCACTTACCCTCCTTACCTAACTTGATCTATCACTTACCCTGCCTTACTAACTTGATCTATCACTTACCCTGCCTTACCTAACTTGATCTATCACTTACCCTGCCTTACCTAACTTGAGCTATCACTTACCCTGCCTTACCTAACTTGATCTATCACTTACCCTGCCTTACCTAACTTGATCTATCACTTACCCTGCCTTACCTAACTTGAGCTATCACTTACCCTGCCTTACCTAACTTGAGCTATCACTTACCCTGCCTTACCTAACTTGATCTATCACTTACCCTTCTTACCTATTGACTATCCTTACCTCCTTACCTAACTTGAGCTATCACTTACCCTGCCTTACCTAACTTGATCTATCACTTACCCTTCCTTACCTAACTTGAGCTATCACTTATCCTGCCTTACCTAACTTGATCTATCACTTACCCTGCCTTACCTAACTTGATCTATCACTTACCCTGCCTTACCTAACTTGATCT